GGAACAGTCACAGTCTCCTATTGGCTGTTGGCTTTAACCCACGGGCCACCTAATTGGACGCGTGCTCTTATACAGTTCGTGTGCAGGATTGGTGTGTCTCTGGGTTTTGGTTTTCCAATTGGCTAACGTCGGGATGGGCGTTTGCGGGGATATTTGAATTTGAAGCCAGAAGGCAGTTGTCGAGGCTTGCCCGTGACTTTCCGCATCTGGAGCTGGTGGTCGTCATGTCTTTTCCTAAGGCGCCCCTGAAACGATTCAATGACCCTTCCGGTGCGTAAGGAGGAGGGAGCTGGGAGTCGGGAGTCTATCTAACGCCCCTTTCCTCTCTCCCTCCCCCGGAGGCAAGCGGGAGGCGATGTTTAGGGCAGGAATGGAGCTCATTCAGTTGATTGATTTTCCTGAAATGTATGCGTCTACTACGTGCGAAGCGCTAGTCAGGATGTTAAGGTTGTAGCAATGAGTGAGCCAGAGTCCCCGGGCCAAGGAGCTTAGGTTTGGGTGGGGAGTACTGTTAGTAAACGGTTAGCAACATGGAGAAGCTAACGCAGGATGAAGCTATTTGAAAGTCGAGTCCTAGAAGGCCTCACTGATAACATTCAGTTTTACTTTTTTTTCCTTTTAACTTGTGAATTTCTTTTAGATATTTTGTGTGGGCATAAAGAGAAGGAAGATTGGCCAAAGCCGTTTATGGGTGTAAAATAACAGCGCTTATTGAAAACACTATAAATGAAGTTATAGAGGCTGATACTTACCATATAGCTCAGTCTTTACATGGATTATGGGGGGCGGCGGTTAAGACAGAGTCTTACTCTGTCGGCCTGGAGTTGAGTGCCCTGGCGTCACAGCTCACAGTAACCTCAAACTCTTGGGCTCAAGCGATCCTCTTGCCTCAGCCTCTCAAGTAGCTGGGTGCTGTGCTCCCACCACAACACCCAGCTATTTTATTTTAGAGACGGCGTCTCGCTCTTGCTCAAGCTGGTCTCAAACTCCTGAGCTCTGGCTGTCCACCTGCCTTGGCCTAGAGTGCCAGGATCACAGGGATAAGCCACTGCGCCCGGCTTTAGTAGATTTTTTTTGTTGTTGCACAACGACCCTAAGCGATAATGCTATTATTTGTTATTTTATTGATTAAAAAAAGATTAGGACCTTTAAATCTGCACAGCCAAACTGGCAGAACTGAGTGTGAACCCAGGACTCCATGAATCTGTTAGATGCTCTTAAACCCTGAAGTGCATATAAGCACAATAACTAGGAAGGCTTGATGTCGTTGGGTGGCATATATCATTTAAGGTATTAAATGTTTCTATGCACCCATAGCACAGTGGTTATGGTGCCAGCCACATATGCAGAAGGTGGCGGGTTCAATCTTGGCCTGGGCCAACTAAAACAACAGCTAAACTACTACAACAAAAATATAGCCAGGAGTTGTGGTGGGTGCCTGTACTCCCACCTACTTGGGAGTCTGAGGCAAGAGAATGGCTTAAGCCCAAGAGTTTGAGGTTGCTGTGAGCTGGAATGACATAAATAAATAAATAAGATGCTAACTGTGCGCTGGGACTGTGCTAAGTCTCCCCGGCTAGATCTTGTTTATTCCTTCCACCTGCCAGGTGAGGAAGGTACTGATGTTGTCTTATTTTACAGAGGAGAAAATTGATGGGTTTTGTAAGTATTGATACAGTTATTCTACCCGTAACTAGTGTAATTGAATATGAAAGCCTATGATTTATCCATTATAATACCCTGAAATTTGAGGTTAAAGTGATCTGTGATGAGTCCACTCTTCTCTAGCTCAAGCAACAGAGCAAGACCCTGTTTCCAAAAAAGGGAAGACTGGTGAGCAAGTGAATCAGCAAAAGCTTCTTTCTTTTTTTCTTTTCCTTATTTATTTATTTATTTATTTATTTTTAACCTGAGACAGTTTCACCCTCTTAACACCTCTGAGTGCCATGGCATCAGGTAGGTCTAGCTCACAGCAACTTTGAATTCCTAGTTTTAAATGATCCTCTTGCTTCAGTCTCCTGAGTAGGTGGGACTACAGGCATCAGCCACTGCCTACTGTTCCATGTTTTGCTGGTCCTTAACTCCTTTGGAATTGTAGACCCAGTGATGACCTGGAATACTAGAATTCAACATTATTATGTGTTGTATTGTTTTTAATTCTGGGTGCTTGCCACCTCTAGAGCAATGCGTCTCATAATTTCCCACAGAAGCATAGCTAAGAACAGAGAGCAGATGAGAATAATCACAGGACGTACATCATAACTACCAGTAGTGCCTGCAGTTTTCTCTGAAGTCTTTTATCTGCATTAAAATCCAATATATTCTCCATTATCTCCCCACCCCCACCCCAAATGAATAAATTAGATGTTTAAGACATGCCCCACTTAGCCTGGTTTTAGGGAACTCTACTGTTTACCAGCGGGTAGGAAATCTCAGCCAGCCAAGATTAATGCTTTTTGCAAAGTATACATTTACCTCATCCCCAGTGAATTCCACACTTCATCTTGAGACTCTCCTTCCTGATTGGAAATCCACTGTCTCTACCCTTTATTAATCACATTTGATCTTAAAGTTTCCAGGATTAGAGTCTTTCTGTCAATATATCTAAACAATCCTTATTCCAAATAGAGGAATGGAAACTTAATTCTGTCATTAATACAATTTTTTAATTTATTTTTATTTATTTATTTATTTGCAGTTTTGGCCAGGACGGGGCTTGAACCCGCCACCTCCCGCATATGGGGTCGGTGCCCTACTCCTTGAGCCACAGGGGCTGCCCTGTTAATAGAATTTTTATGGTTACCTAAAAATGATGAAAGCAATAACTTTAATACTTTTAAAACTATTTCCCAGAGTGAGAAATAAGTTTTATATTTCTAACTAGGATTTTTGTTTTATTTCTACATATATAACTAAAACAAAAGTTTCACAAAACAATGCTTAGCCTTGCTACATGTGAGTCACGCTTATATTTCTATTGGGTTGCACTTGTTTTTAAAGTGTTAGTCAAGATCTACTAATGAGTTCTTAACTGCCATTTGCGAAGTGCTTAGCGGATAGCAGTAATTGCCTTGGAATGGTCAAAGCTTCTAGCTGTCATATTTATTTGTTTAAGACTATATTCTTTGAAAATAGCTTTTCAGAGAATGGTATCTATTGGTTCCCAATCACCTAAAGTTTTATGCTAATGATATTTTAATTATTGTAAGGTATAAGGATCTTGTCTCTAGTCTGGTATGTGTAAACACTGTGAAATGACTTCGGAGTTAGGGCTCCAGTTAACTGAAGTTATATGATACAAACTTCTAAAACATAGGAATATTTTCTAGTACAACATGTACTTTGCAAAACATGGCTTTATAAATTTTCAAAGCATCAAAGTCTTTATCTGTAATTAACATAGAGTCCTTGTGAAGATTAAATAAAATAATATCCATAAAATGCTTAGTGTAATGCCTGGCATGTAGTAAGTGCTCAAAAAATTCTCGTTACTGTTAGCATGATTGCTCTTGTGTGTGTTCAAATTGCAGTTGATAGCATCAGTAGGTCTGTTGTATTTATATTAGCCAGAGATAGATTGTCACTGTATTTTTATTCTAGGCTAAATCTTGAGGGCGAGACAATTTTAATTACTTTATTTATAGAAAATAGTGGTAGTTACCTCAGTGATTTTCTTTGAGAAGAGTTGACTAACACCCAAATATTTTATTTCTTTTATATTCAGTCCTTAATCACAAAGCCACATTCTTTCTTAATACATGAAGCTCATCCCCAAACTACTGACTATTTTATTCAGGTATCTGTGTTTCTTTGACCCAGTTGTTATAAAGGACAAGGTGATAACTGTTCTTCATAGAGAAACCTTCGTTGTTATATTAAATGGATGCTATTTTTACATTTTAAAAAATGAAGCAGTGTGTTCATGGCATTTTTACATTTATATTCACTTTGTTATGACATGTTTTTAACTTAAGATCATAAATGACATTAGATTATACATGTGTTATGTTTCCTCTAGGTTGTGCCCCATCTCCAGGTGCTTATGATGTTAAAATGTCAGAAGCACTGAAAGGACCAGTATCCTTTCAGAAATCAGAGAGATTTAAAAAGAAAAAAGGTAATGGATCTCAAAGGGATGATCTGATACTTTTCTTAATTTTAAAGTTATGAATAACAATATTTAAACATGCTATACCGCTTCTAAAAATGTAAAGCTAGAACTATTGTTTAGATTTTCTTTTGGGGGGATTTATGAAATAATCAAGTATAGAATAATCCATTTACATTGTTGTATAACCAGGAAAATAAAGCAAAAAATTCATGTAGATGTATAGCTTCTTTTTGGTAATTACCTTAACTTTTCTTGTCAGGGAGTATTTGGAAAATCAGAAAAGTATTATATATATAAAAAAATTATGCAATTAATTATTTGGAAATTCACAATTAAAAGAATAACTTTATATTGCTTCTTTAATAATTGTGATAAGAAATATGGAATTGTGCTTTCTATGTGGTTAAAACTTATAAATACCAATCATGATCTATACAATTCATTTTTCTGTAGACTCTCAACAAAATTCTAATGTTGACAAAGATGCTACCTTGCTTGCTTCAGAGAGAAAAGTTAAGACTTTGGAATTAAAGGTGAGGAACTTTTATATGCCAGTTCGTTTATCAACTCTATCATTGAAAACCTATCTTGGCCATGTACAGGG